TGCCACATCACCGGCTCCAGTTGCTCTCTCATCGAAGCTGGCCTCTCCACCGCAACAACTGGCCTCTCCACCACCGCTACAACTTGCCTATCCAACGCCACAGTTGGCCTTTCTACCACCACCTGAGCGCGCGTCTCCAAAGCCCTTTCAATTGCCTCCGCAATGAGACGATCCAACTCCGTTCTCGTCACCCGCATCTCCGACTCATCTCCTCCTTGCACAACCCCTAGACCAGGCGTCTGCACCACTACCTCCTGGCCCCCCTCCCTTGGTCCACCATCCTCTGATCTGGCTTCGGTGACAACATTTGGTTTACCCCTTGCAACGCCATGTGAGGGGTAGCCATCGAGCTCTCCCCTCTGCTCCATCCAACCGGTGCTCAACCCCCATAAGGCGTCTTCGTCATCCAAGCCTCATTCATGCTCGCCTCTAAGTTCCTCCTCAATTTCTCATCTCCGATTGTCTTCTCCATCTCAGCTTTCTCCCAATCAGTAGAATAACTAGGTGTCCCACAGACGGCGCCAATTGATAACACTCCTGCACCCCAACCCGGTTCTCCTCCGCTCCTCGTCCGGTTAGAGCTCTCCAAGACCTGCAATGACGCCGGGAGCTGCTCCTGGCGGTAAACCTCCGACGCTCAAGTCAGTAAGGAGTAAAGGAAAATCGTCTATAACTGCAAGTAGTATTAGGGCTTTAGGTGTGTTAGTTCTTACCTTCCCCCTTCTTTACCTATATATATCGAATTATTAGCTTGTCCAACACGCCTTTGTCTCTCCTCCGTGAGATCGTTTATCTCCTTTTGATCCTGACGCTCCACGTGCCCCTTGTTGATCAATTTGATAACTGCAACTTCTGCTCCGTTCCCGGCCCACTTACAGTCCAAGCAATGCACATAGTCGAGCCGTATTTGGGCCGAGCCCATTCGTTACCAGATCATAGCATCTGCTCGCATCTGCCCAATACACCCAATTGAGCTAACATTGGGCCGAGCCCCTTCACTACCAAATTCTGCTCAACCCAATACACCTGATTGAGCTAGCATCGGGCCGAACCCCTTCACTACTATTACTATCGGCTCGGCCTATAAACATCCTTCCGGCTCACAGACCGGGCTAATTTCCGCCGGTCTACCCAAATATTTTCTAGTGCTATATCAAATCAATATTTACAAATAAAAATAATTGCATAAAAGTAATTCAACTCTGTTAAAATGTACTACAAAATTTGGAGTAACATTTTTGTCTACCGAAAAAATACTTTGTGTGAAAGAGGCAATTTTCTCAAGTAAAAAAATGCAAAATTTGCGTGGTTCTGCCCTTAACCCGCCGGGTCAAAAATTTATGTATGGCTCGGAACTTGGCGCGGTCAAACTGCAGGTTCGAGACTGGGTCCGTTGACTACGGATCGGGTCGACTAATGGTTGTGTCTAAGAAGTACAGTACGCCTATTAAAACGAGCATCGGTTCAGAGAAAAAAAAAAATAAATAATAAAAAATAAATAAAATACGAGCGTAGGAGCAATACGTTTCGTTGGTAAGTGGCCACCAAAGTCATCGGCGAACACATTCTCACGAGGACAGACAAAATAGCTGTCTGAATCCAAAAAAATCAAGACAAAAGTCAAACCTTTAGACCCACGTTAAAAGCCACCTTTTTTGTTTTTTTTTTTCACAAAAATTCCTCTAAAAAACTCAAAAGATTTTTCCAAGAATCTTTTTGGTCCGTCCAGAACAATTCCGGTTCAGATGGCAAAAAGGAGGAAAATATAAAGTCATTCTAAAGCCGCGTATTTCGGCCCACTAACCATTTCAAGCTAACTCCAGATGGCGGCGCTCCTGACTGACTCTCATCGGCCGGTTGGAGATTTCGCCACCGGGTTCTCGCCGGCGGCGGAGGTGGGCGGCGGAGACGCCGTCCACGTTGCCGTGGGGAGGTCCCTGGAGAAGACAATGGCGCTGTTGCAGTGGACTTGCAGCGTCTTCCCAGGGCGCGAAGTTGTCCTGCTTCACGTTTATCGTCCTTCTCCCTTCATCCCAACTCCATGTAAGGAGAAACCCAGATGGAGATTAATTTTTGTATTTGTATTTGTAGGATTTGATTTTATACAATAAGGCAAAACAGATATATTTGTTTAAGACCAGTTTTAGATGATGTAGTGTTGTTCGATTATTTTAAGAAGCATTACTTAATAGAACAGATTCGTGTCGTTTAGCTTTAATGTCTTTTGAACTTTTTGTGATCTATTTCGTTATTTGTCTTGACCTTTCACGATTACTATATATTTACCGGG